GGAGCATAGCCACACGCATCTTTTTCATCTTCATATATTTTCGAACACGTGTATCATTTCTATGTATAGACGCGAGATAATTAAATCCACAATATGTGATGTTAACGTAATCGCGAGAAGCCTTGTATAATCCTCGTTAGTCCTTGAGAGCTGTCATTCATGCAGAAAAAGTACAAGTACAATAATCTCATCACGTCGATACAAATCAGACAAGAAAGCACAACGACAAGATACATTGTCGAACACATTGGAGCTCGAGATTTCTCGTCGCACCTCTTCGTTACGCGATATACTAATTACGCGATGATCGGTACTGACAAGAGATCGTCATGCTCGGGAGAAACGCGGAGAAAGAGATTACGATACGCGAGCCAAGATGGTAAATGAGCAAACCGCTACGGAATGTGTGAGAAATCTGGAGATTATACTTACATGTATATAATACGTAGTTTACACTATATGTACCATGCCAGTGGTGCAATCAACGCGATTTCGCAGCCTGATTAAAGAAAATTAAGAGCAGAAGAAAGAGCAGAGAAAAAAAAGAACGAGGGAAGTAAAGAGAAAAATTATGGAAAGATAAAATTCCGAAAGAGAAGGATACAGAGTTCGAAAGGGCCTCCAGAATGTCGATTACGCCACTGTACGGTGTATCCATATCAGAAAAAAATTCGGAATGAACTCGTTGAAAATCATGCTATTGCTGACACATGGAGATACAGAATGAGAGATTACGATAATATCTGATAAAGGAAGAAACTCTTGAAGAATACATGACTCAACGAAGAAATCCGATTAAATTTTTCTGATACGAGTACAAACACCTGCACACTTCGCATTGATATAATGCAATAATTTATATACTCTATTGTGTATGGTTTCAATTTGAATTCTTATGAGATTTAATAAGTTGCAAACAACTTTCAGCGAGAAATCTGATGCGAGCATCGCGAGAGACGTCCTTCTCCGCGCGTTTGAAAAATTCTTCGATATGAATTAACTATGAAATACGCGAATAACGCTGCAATAATTTGTAATTATAATCATAATAACAGTGCGTCGCATGCGCGCGCGGACGTGTGCTTCTCCGAACTTTCAATCGATGTGAAAAGATATCTAAAAAATGAGAATATATATCGATACTTTAATCACTCGATTTCATTAACGTTCGTAAAACTCGTATTTATAAACGTTTATAATAAAGACCGCGTTACGTTACACATATATGTACACACACGCGCGTGCATGTATACCCAGGCATGCACACACACACACGCACGCACGCACGCACGTACGCACGCACGCACGCACGCACGCACGCACGCACGCACGCACGCACGCATATAAACACATACACAAACAAAATGTAACACGGTCTATGCTATACATATACATATATATATGTATAAATTGTATATATACATATATATATAATATATGCATATATACCTATATATAAATAACATTTTGAATTTATTTGATTGCGAATGTCAATTGTGGCGTTTGTCACGTTAAAAAAAAGAGAGATTATGCCGATCGTCGCAGCCCGTAGATAAAATTTTCAATTTATCGATCGATAGGCAAGAGTAAAGAATAGATATTCTCCCCTTTTCTTTTTACTCCCGACAACAACGACGGCGATAGTAATAATACAGTAAGAATAATAATATAGTAATAGTAGTAATAGTAATAGTATAGTAGTAATAATAGTAATGGTAACAGTAGTAATAGTAGTTGCAGCAGTAGTAGTCATAGTAGTAATAGTGGTAATCGTTAACATTAATGATAATCGTGTAATAACAATAATAATAAATCAATGAATCTTTTTTTTATACAACAACCACACGTAGAAGCGACAAATTAGAGTAGTAGAAATAACTATTTCTTAATCTCGCAATTTTATATTTATATTTATATCTCTATATATTTATATATAATGTATATTTGCTATATACATATATGTATGTATGCACATATATATATATACATATATACATACACACGTATACATATACACATAATTATATTTGTATCCTTGTCTCAATATATATATGTATATGCGTAGATGTGGAGCGCGCACGTGCGACCACACGAACGTAGTGCGGTTCCACCGTTTGGAAAAGCGCATTTATCGTGTTTACGATGCACGATCGCCGGACGACATGCGATCGCTTAATAATTCGTTCTTCTCTAAACAATATATCAGAACGAGAAAATATAATATATAGGAACGAGGGAGAGACATATTTTACGTGAAATCTTCGAGAGACGCCGAGAAAAATAAAAAGAAAAAACTTGGCAAACACGGCGCTGAAACATTCACTTTAATATCTAATAACGAATGATCGTTAATAATGATTAGATAATAATGTATTAGTTAATTAATGATTCTACGAATTTGCAACTTTTGTGCACGCGCTTATACTCATATACATAATATATATTTATTTGTATATTTCCTTTATATATATATATATATTTATATATATATAATGTTACACACACACGCACGCACGCA